GAAGATAGAAAGAGAGAGAGAGAGGAGTTGGAGAAGGAAGAAGAGGAAAGAAGAGAAGAAAGAGAAGGGCTCTACTGTCACGGGAACGCCACGCGTGATCGAGTTACCTGGACGAACTGGCGGGGCGCAGGTGAGGTTGGTGTACAGCCTGCGGGACAAAGAACCGCAAGAAATACCGATACTACCTTACTCTGGGACTATAAGGTCGCTGTCACGACTCAAAATCAAAACGTTCACACATCGGCCGTCCTTTCGTTGTCTAGCTGCTTTTCAGACATTTGAGCCAAATCGTCGAAGAAAATCCATAAACTTCAACAAAGTCTTTTGTTGCACGGTGAAAAGAATCGAATACGCAGGAGTAGCGGACAGAGAAAAGCGCGCTTTTACCAGAGGCCAGACACGCGAGCCCTTCGGAGACATCGATACGTCGAAACATAGATACCCCCTAGCATTGCCTCATCCTTCCTGTGCGGTTTGCCCGTTACGTTCTCTTATACAGTACCGAGTATACACATATATGTCTCCGCGAGTGTAAGAATGAAGCTGATCACCGGCAACATCTAGACGGTGGTCAGTTTTTTTGAATTTCTCAGATGATACCCCTTTTTCTTTACATCGATCTCGCCCCTGTCCACACGGATCCCTCTCCTCTTGCTCCTCTCTCAACACCTCCTCCTCCTCCTCCTGCCCGCCCTGCTCTTCTTCGTTCTGCTTCTCTTTCTCTCTTTCTCGTTTTTCCCACCTTGTGGCAAAGAGTTTCTCGTGAAATGTCGACAAAGGAACCCTTAATTTGGTTAACATCGCAAGAAAAACGGGGTACCTTGCTCTCTTTGTATCGCACTTCCTGTTTTGCAAGGGCTAAATTACAAGAGGGCTGCGCAACATGCAACAAACCCCCATCCCCTGTATTTCACACATACAAATTTTCGTAAATTTTGAATTACCCAAATTATTCAGTAATTACTTCATCGATTTACCGTAACACGCGACATTCTGAACTGCCTGAGACAATGCGTCTACCTATTACTAAAGTTCGCTGTTTGCACCTGAGTGAGACGGTCAACGATGTCATTTTCGCTAACACGAAAGAAGGAAAACCAGGGAAAGTAAAAAAGTAGCGAAGGAGTGAACGAAGATCATTTCTTCAAAATCACGGTTTCACCTTAAGTAGATACTATTTATATATTTGATAGATCGGTATTTCTTTTTTCTTTACCATAATCGACATAGGCAAACTTGATATAAATTTAGGCTCAGAATTATGCGAAGATTTTAAGCTTTTTTTAATCTACTCTGATTTCAAAAGGTAAGTATTATAAATACACCGTACTTTATTCAATAAGAATTTGTAAATAAGTTTTTAAGTAAGTATTACAGTATTATGGTCTAGTCCACAAGATTACTACGTGTAATACTTTTTATCGTTAAACAATATTTTTCCAAATGCAACTTCTTATTTTTTGAATTTTAAAAGTCGTTCGAATAACTATGAGCTGCAGGTACTGCACATATAATATACGCAATTATATACAAAACAATAACAAAATATTATAAATATTATAGTAATATATACCAAGATAAGCCTGGTGTATATTAGAAGGCAAACTGGGTCGTTTATATCTAAGTTTAATTTTTTTACAGTTCTAGGCTTTCAAAAAATCTGAAAAAATTCTGAGATACTTATCAAAATCTCTATTATATTGTACAATTGTTCGTTAAGTCAAGTCTTTAGAACTATTTCAATGAAATTTCATTTGGGTCGTCAAAGACCCAGGCTGCCTATGAAAGTTTAATAATATTTGGAATCTTTTGTATTGTAAAATTATAATTCAAGATTAAAACTTCGATACTTAAAATTGTTGCATCTTTGGCATAATTTATACACTTTATGCACAATTCTTGCTAACTCACTTTGATCGTAAACGTTTTCTTACGTGTAACATACTGTCAATAAGGTTGCATTGCAAAAAAGTATCACATTTATTAACCAAATAAAAATATAGATTTCATAGAATATGCACTTGTTGTGCATATAAAAAAATACAAACTTTACCAGAAAATGTGGTTGAATATCGTGTAATATGAAATTACAACTGAACGTTGCAAATTTGTATAATGTTATTAATTTAAGTATTATCTGCAATAGTATGTTTAAGAAAGTATGAAAAAGTAGAGAGGCACTTTCTGTACATATTTTTTCGATTTTATCGTTGCTCTTGAAATTATTACACTTTTCACAGATTTTTGAAGAATACAGTGAATAATATCCATGTGAAAATTATTTATGCAAAAATTGCTTATGATATGCGTGGTTTTCAACTAGCCATTATACGCGATAGTAAAGTAAATAAAATATATTCAATGCATAATATGTGCTGACTAATCGTAAGACAAGAATAAAGGTATTTTGAAATAAGTATTGCATAATTCACTCGTAATTCGTTTCTAAAGATTGACAGAGAAATTTTCACGGAAAACTACCATATCACGTAACTGAACGAAAATGAGACCGAATGAAAAATATTTTACAACACATTGTCTCGTTCCGTTTGCCCAAATATTTATTGCATAAAACTTGTGTATAGTATAAAACAATAGATTATTCGTTATAGCGCAAGGTAACTTTACCATACTCAAGAAACTCAAGAAACTTAATTAAAACACTAATATATACGCTTTAAAGATTAAATTAATAAATCTCCGAAATTTAAAGAGAAAGAACTCTTCAAAGTCGTAACAGCAATCGAGATTTCATTACTACATATCTTGGTAGTTATTAAATGTTTCATTTTCAAGATGGAGAGAGAGAGAGATAAATTGGTCAAAACGGACGGGCAGAAGGGAACAGAGAAACGAAGAGAATAGAAGGATAGGGAGGAGTGAGAAAAGAGGAAAGCGAAGGAGAGCTGAAGAGAGAAGAGTAGATAACAGGAAAGGAGAGCAAAGCAGAAGAGAATGTAAGAGAGGGGTAGGGAGAGGGAGAGAACGAAGTGTGAGAAAGAGGGAGAATGAGCGAGGGAACGAGGGGAAGGAAGAGAGGAAGGAGGAAGGGCGAAGAGAGCAGAGACGAGAAAGGACAGAAAACGTGAGGGAAGAGAGGAGCGACGAGGAAGGACAGGAGATGAGAGGGAAGGGTGTATGAGTGTATATGTGTGCCGAGAGGGGCAGGAGTACGATGGGAAGGCACGAAAAGAATGTAACGAGAGTGACCGAGCGAGGACCACGTCGCAAATTGTCTGAATTAATGCTGCAGTAGGGTCGGTTTAACGTGTTGAGATGAAACTCGTCCCGCTAGAAATGATTTTCAAATGCGACGCCTGATTGTATTTGATGCGCGACTTGTAACCATGGTTTGACTTTGAAGTCCGTTCTCCAAAGTGTACCAATTGCGAACTTGGAATTTTTCCGGGGTTCCCGTGACGCGGCAAACTCCCCAGCAAACATTAGACGATGGACAAAACTTCCTCCGTTCGCGTAGATTGATGCAGACCGAGTTGAAATGATCTCAATTAGAGGTTCGGCGTTAGACTGACAATGAGTCGGAGGAACGTTCTTTTAGCCGTTCGCTTCGACGTCTTTCGATGTGTCGATAAATCTTTAGATGTGTTTGGCTCAATTTTAACGTTACATATACCGCGGTTTCGGTAAATTACGTATCCGTTGATCAATTCGTCGTTACTCGAAACGTCCTTCGAACTTTTTCTCCCCTAAACTTACGACTGTCGCTAGTTGAATCGAGGCACAGCGCGTCTGTCTTGAAATATTTCACAGGGAATATTTTCATGATTTCCTTTCTTTTTTCGCGACTCGGTTAAATAAAACGCACGATCTCGTTACACGTTCGACGAAAGAACTTTTGCAATGAAAACGTTGCGGAGAAGGTTTCGGAACATTTCTGACCAATTTACACGTTACACGTGTGTTCTGAAGTATTTCCCTTCTTCTAGGTAAAGAAGCTGAGAATCTGTTTGTAAAGGGTCAAAGGGAGTTTCAAAGGTAACCTCTGGTAATTGCAAGCGAACCAGTGCCGAGAAACGGGCAATTAAACACAATTAGGCATTAACCTACTTTCTAAATTAGCTGGCTTGCAGTTTAGATCATAGACCTGTTCAAAAATCGATAGCGATATTAAAAAGTGGTCGTAACGGCTGCCAAGACGAAATTCTATTTTCCTGTGAGAGAAAAAAGAAAAAGGGGTAAACCAATAAAAGACGAGGTCGTTCTCTCAAGGATCTTGGTGATTATCGAAAACGAGGTAGGTTGAATCGAGGAAGAGCCTCACCCTTTTCCTTCATCAGGAACGAGGAGGGCGTGTCCACGATCAGCCTTCTCTTTCTCCTTTTTTTCTCTTCTTTTTAAAGCACAAAAGCACACTAGTTGATAGATAAACGGATATAACCTTCGTTTTAACACAAAAAAGACTAATGAGTTGATAAACGTAAAAACAAAAAAAGAACATACGGAGCGTACAACTAACAACTAAAAAGAGGAGAAAATATCTCACGCGTGACATTGGACGTAATCAAACCGTTAACATTGAACAAGATATGATCGGAGGAAAGTAAAAACAGAGGAAGCTTGAAAATCAAGTAGAATCCCTGATGTTGCAAGTTCCCGCGTGTATCCCTTTGGTCCAACCCTAAGATCGAATTCCACTTCTCTCCGGATTGCTTCGACCTCCGAAGAGACTCTCACGAAACTGTGTATCAAGCTATAAAAATTCAAGACGGTCAACGAAGCTTTTGTCTTCTACCTTTTTTCTGCTTCCGGTGTTAGCCATCTCTCTCTCTCTTTCTCTCTCTTTCGAGCTAACGCTGTGTGTGCGTCTTCGTTTCGCTAGAGAATTTAAGACGACGGCTAAGTGAACATCGATATCCTTCGAAGTGATGTTCCAACTGACTACGGCACTGAAAATGTCGAGTAATCGATAATAAGTTAATGGGCAGGTTTGCTCTGCTCGCTTGGTCGGTTGCTCACGAGCAAGGCATTCGATCGAGTCGATGACAACTTCCGGCGGTGTTAACGAGCGGTCGACACGCGATCGCGACTGCGATGCCAGAGTTGCGCGAGGATTGCTCTCCGTCGAATCACTACAGACACAGCCTTAACCACTTTACTCCTGAGAATATTAAAAAGCTCACAATTAGTAGTATGGAGGACTTGAATCTGTCTCTCCTGCATCTTCTTCTTCTCCTCTCTTCGATCAATCTTTTTCCCTTATTTTTTAGGTTAGGTCGATCGTGCGACGTTTCGGCTTCTGCTTCTTTTAAGAATGTTGTCGCTCCACATCACCGAAAGCGGTTAGTCGATAGCGGCATTGAATGCCGCTCGACAAGACGGTCAAGAAAGAAGATGAAAACGATGCAGGAAGAGGAGGACGTTCCGTTATCGTTCTCCTGCACATAACCGTACTTCCAACAGAGGGCGCGATTCCAGATCACCTCTCGTACCAAGGAAGGTCAGATCACCTACAACTATTCTTCTCCCATAATCGTTCTTCTCTGGTGTGTGTGTGTGTGTGTGAAACGATTGTATTACATTGTTGCAGATGAAATGACCGAGGTATCAATGAAAATTTCCATATCTCTGATTTTAGTAAAAATGATATTTATTAATCAGAGACGATCCACTGGTTTCGATACACTTTGACCATCGTAAAACAAGATTACTTAAGCCTTTGTTAACATCTTATGTTGTTACGGGTCAGAATTGTGAAACAGATTCTAGTGAAAATGTGAGAGAAACAGTTACAGTAGTAACAAAGATTCATTTTAATTCTAACTTTAGTTTTAATTCATATGATTAAGGATTATCAAATGTTTTTGTTATGTGATACAATATTAAAACTGTGAATAGCTAACGCTTAAATATGTGCATAGTCAGGTAAAACAATTGTAAGTGAAGAGGTTAAAAGAAAATTTTTAATTTCTTAAAAATGTATTTTTTTATTTTAGTTTCGTTATTAAATTTTAACTATAAGAAGTGGCCAGTGAAATTTGATCTTAATTCGTGATACTCACTGTTCTACACAATCTACCATTTAATAGTGAAACAATTGGGGAACCACCGATCGTGTTGCTCTTGGTTAACTTCAACCTTTAAATTGTTGTATAATAAGTGTCATCTGGTAGCAGATTTGAGAACAAAATTCTGAGAACCTTATACACGTGTGAAATTTGCCATTTCATGTGCAACAACCTAATAACTAAAAATTCCTAAACATTCTACATTTTCACTGAAAAATAACGAAACCCATTACATTTTTTTCGCCTCTGTTGTATCTAAATATCTCGTACATTTTTTTCCTGGGCCTGCATTACATCATAAAATAAGATCGTTTTATTGTACAATTGTAGAAGATGTACGAGGAAAGGAGTAAACAGTAAAAGGGGTGAAGAGGATCAAGTTATTTTTCCGGCGATGGTAAAGGCACGGCAATCGAGAGGCTCGAATGCCTTAATGCCTTAATGCCTCGATACCAGTACGTAACGGCTCCTTGTGACTTCTTTGGCTTCCGAGACAAACGAGGGTCGCCGAAGACCCGGAAGTTCGTTCGACTCGGCGCATTAACTCCTCGTCTGCCATCGTATTACATACCTTTTAGGCTCTCAGAAATTCATCAGTCTCTAGTATCTGAAACTGTGCGAAAGAATGATAACATTTGAATAATAGACTCACGTTACAAAACATAAATCTTACACTTTTCGTTATAAACCAAAAAAAAAGAAAGAAAAAAAGAAATCTTTTTAACTCGTATCAGTGATACACTTAGAAGAAACACTGAAAAATTGTGAAAGCGATAAATTTGCAAAAGAAAGTTGTTCTAAATGCCGTTGATCGGTACGGAAGTTTACAATCGGTATGAAGTAAACTAAAAGATAAGATTTAAATTTATTCGAAATTGAATCACTGACATAATGTCTCATGCTTCTGAGTCATCTTTCTTCGAAACAGGGAAAAAGTAGTACTTCCTGTACATGGAATAGATGGTTCGAGATTCCGATAAGTTTCCTATTAATTCCTTCCCACCTGACTTCTCTCCTCGTTTCGAAACGAGTAATTAAAGATACGTATACTGTTGCTTTAGTTCTTAATCGATGCCTACCTATACGATAAAAATATTCTTCTATCGTATTCGTCTGAACGAAGAAAACTTGGATACCTTCAGTCGGACGCAAATCACGTGACATCTACTTGGAGCTGGCAACAACTTGCAATTGTTACCTCTTAACCACCAAATACCTTAAACGGAGGCAGATTCAACTCTACGAATAAAACAAATTCGTTGTACAAATATAAACGGTGGGTAGTGCACAGCTCGTATGACAAAGTAATCGGAGAAGCTGTAGGTACAAACAAGACGGATCTAAAGTACCTGTTACATCGGAAGCCGGTTGAAGGCGCCGTTCGAGACACGCCAGTGTGGGAAGCTGCGTCGGCGTTAGCTGCCTTGCGCTTCGTCACGCTGCGTTACTGTGCACCGTTGTGCCTCGCATTACGTCGACAATTGATCCTAACGCGCTAGACGCCGAGCCAATTAAGAGACCTCTTGTCCGATTACGTCATCTACCAGCGATACCCACCGTCCTCGCGCTTTCTACTCTGATCTGAGCAATATTTCCTTCTCGACTCGCGTCGAAACTCACTCACAGACTCCAATTATAATTGCGAAAAAAGCCCCAACGCGTTGTCTTAACGTTCGCCTTCGAATCTATTTAATTATGGGCTTTACACGAAGTAGTATTGTTTTTTTTCTTCTTCTTTTTCTTTCTCCTTTTTTTCTAATGTACAGCTTCTAGAAAGAAACGTTGATTCTCTCTCTCGATGCTACATACGAAGAAAAATAAAGAAAGGGAGACATTCCATCGATGTTCCTTCCAGGTAGCCGTGACCTCCTCCTTCTTCTTCTTTCTCATCGTCTGTACCCAGACTCCGTTATTTTCGCTGTTGACTTCGTCGACACGACGAAGCGAGTTATTGTGATAAGACTGCCTTTTTGATTCATCCTATACTTCCCTCTCCTTCACAAGGAAAACGATCAACAGAATATTGAGCGGCTGACTGAAAAATATGTATATATATTCTTGATAAATAAAATTTGCGATAAACGGGGCTTAGTGTACACGGATCTATTATGCAACAACGCCGTTATTATGCGTTATCGTAATATCGTTTTTGTTCAAATTCTCTACACAGTACTTTTCTCCACAAAGAATGCAAACCGTGAATGTATGCGAACACTCTATCATTTGAATGGTACTACGTATGCGTATTAAACATTGTTCTCGGAGAAAAAGAAACATGAAAAGGCGAGGGAGAAAAGAAGGAAAGGAAGGAAGGGAAAAAGAAGAAACACATAGCTGTAGACGAGAAGAAATAAGGCGAGTCAAGGGAATTCCAGCGAGTTCCTTCCTGGTAGCAGCAAGCTTCCCCTCAGCCTCGGTTTCTTCCTGTAAGAAGGCCTTCAGAAGGGGAAGGGGAGCTGGCCTCGTGGGCGACTCTCTCGTTCCTAAACTGCATTCCAACCTGCGTTGCCACGTCTCGTCGTAAGCACGCGGATACACGCATAAACGAATGGACACGCATAGCCGAAGGTGCATGCAGACACGTGCACCGACCAACATCTTTCGGGTGGGGACGCATCGGGAGAGTCAACTCCTCGTAAATATTCTGATAAACACCTCCTCTCACCAGTCCTTCCCGCCCCCTCTCCCCCCTCCAGTACCTTCTTTCCTCATTATTTTCTTTCCTTCCGTTATTCACGAATCTTCATTCCTCTACTTTTCCTTCCTCCTCTTCTTTTACAAGCATAAATTTACGTTACTCTAACCGCTTTAGTCGAAGATCGAGAAAATCGGGACGTTAACGTCATCGTCAAGTTTTAATCCTTTGTTTTGCAACTCTGTTGTCCTACAATTTTTCGCCATCACATGCAGCTTGTCTTATCTGAAATGTGCAGTATGCAGAACATATATAAGACTCCAATTAATTACCATCTTATAATAATTATAATTAATTATTAAGTAATTAAGAATGAAAATATTTCAGATAAAGGTGTGTAATTATAAAGTGCATGTAACAAAATTCACATTATTTGCATGTAATTTCATCAGAACTTCAGTACTTGGTAAATACGGAACGAAACGTTGGATTAAAGAAAATCAATCTGGAATAGAAAAGTATTTAATCTAATGAAGAGCACTTAATTATTAAAAGAAGCAAGACCTGTTGGAAGAAAATGTTGGTTGTTTATAAAAAATGTGTGGCTTATTATCTTCTTTACTTTTTCCTAGAATCAGAAACAAATTGTAATAAAATTTAAAGCGCGCTATAAAATGGTTACATCTTATTAGATAAAATATTCGTTTATACCATACTCAAGGAATAATCTCTTTAATATCTCAGACATAAAAATTCAGATGCGATCTATGCACGTACTGTGTATCAATTATGTTTTAGTTCATAAAATCATTTTAACAAACTACTTATTTTCTGTTTAGTATCTTTAAATCTATCACAAACAGGTATCTTATTGCATTATCAACGGTTAAAGCTTAGCAGAATTATTTTTATAACGCATACTCTTACACATGCGTATTCTTAGTAAATTGAATTATACTTCACGACTAGAATTCTATTCGTACGAAGCAAGATTTTAAATTTAAAGATTAACAGAGTCACTATTTATATTTAACGATTTATATTTGATATCTGAACTACCTAACAGAAGCACGGATGTTAAGTTGGTTAACTGGATCGAGGGATTGGTTTGTCCCGAAGCTTTTGAATCGTAAACCCCTGTCAATAGGAAATTAAATTCCGTAGCCTATAAGAAGCGTAGAGCAAAAATCATTTGCGCGTTACACAATTTTCGGTAAGCATTATGAAGGAAACGTATACACTTTACATTCGATCGAATGGCTTTTATTTTTAAATATATATGTATATGGTTCTCATTGCACATGAAGTTGCGTCTTTCGCTATGTATACTGAAGAGTTGAGAAGTCGATATAAAGTGGTCGAAGCAATTACTTCTTCTTACAAGTAAAAAGCCTTCATGACTCTGGGGAACTTTTTACACCTTCATTTTGAGTAGTAAGCGCGTTCGTCGTTCCCTGTATAAGGTGGTCTATCGGGATACTAGCTTCCGGTCAGCTCGAGGTTTTTCTCATATCCTTCGAATAGCCTCTCGTGATACTCACGGCCAGTGGCAGGTACCTATATTCGAGACCTCCGTGTGCGCTCGAGCATGTAATGACCACCGTCTCATCCCAAGACAGGAAGAGGAACAGGTTTTTCATTTTTCACTGGCTTATCGTCCCACCTTAACCTCGAGCTCGTCGATTCTCCGGATGTCAGAAGTCGGATAAAAAAAATCAAGAAAGAGAGAACAAGATACAATTCAAGGAATGAACTAAAAAAATACCGAGAGAAAAACAGAGTTGTCTGCCAACCAGTCTTGCGATAAACTTAAGATAGACGATTAAAAAG